GTTTTCTCCCATTTGTGCCGCTTCCCACAGTTGCGCCAACACAACAACAGTGCATAGCTGCATGTATGCCAAAATGTGAGCCTCAGTGCTTATTCGGAGAGCAACAGAAGCAGATCTCCACCCCAAGTCCTGCCGCATCAGCCGTTAGCTGCACTGATGCGTGCATGCCAGCATGCAATCCTCAATGCGTTTTTCAGCAAGAACTGCTCATGGGCCACAGGTTATCGGCTTTATCCGCTCCCAGTCCAAATCAAGCACAATGTTCTCCTGTATGTATGCCATCTTGCTCTTTACCATGTATTCAGGAACTAGAGGCACGGATGAGTCAAATTCCGGCGCCACTCTACATACAGCCAGGTGATGGCCCTCATTGTATCAGTCCCTGCAAGCCCGCTTGTAGTCCACAATGTATCGATAAGCACCAAGGAGAAATTGTCAACTCAGTATCCATTGTGTCTTCTTCTGCTAATGTTAGCCCACCCCAGCTGGAAGAGAAAAGCACGCCACCTCAAGAAGATCCAGCACCTCTGCCAAATCCTACCATAAAACCCGCTGAACCTCATTGTATGCCTGCTTGTATGCCAAACTGTGCTCCTGAATGCATCCAAGAACAAGAGCTAATCGCCAGTCAAAGAACTGCTGCACCTATTCCGGTTTTCGCAGAGTTAAGCCCAGTTCCTCCTCTTCAGCCAGGATTTGCTCAAGAACATGAGATAGCAAGTGAACTACAAATTCCAGAAATTCCAGACTCTACAGCAGATCCGATCCCATATCAATCTCAACCACAGTGTATGCCAGAGTGTATGCCAGATTGTGAGCCTCGTTGCATTTTGGAACATAGAGTTATGACAGTGCAAGAAACCCCAACAACTACCACTATGCCTACTCTTCTATCATCTGAGCTACAATGTATTCCCGCTTGTATGCCAAACTGTACGTCAGAATGCATAGAAGAACAAGAGAACCTTGCCCAACAAGCGGATAGTAGCTCATCGTGTATTGAAGCTTGCATGCCAGCATGCGATCCCCAATGCATCCTAGACAAGCAGCAATCATTCCAAGCTGCCAGCAATGATCCCTACCCAGAAATTTCGGAATCAGTTACCCCAGCCACTCAACAAAAATGCATAGATGCTTGTATGCCTGACTGTGAACCTCAATGTATCCTAGAACAACAGCAAATCCATAAACAAGCAGAACCAGCAACATCTTCAGTACCGATCCCAGAAAACAAACATGATCTTCAAGAGCACACAACCGATCAGGACTCTACCACTTCCCAGTCACCAATATCGACCATGCCCTTCTGCATGCAGGAATGTATGCCAAACTGCTATCCCGAATGCATTGCCCAACAGTTGCGACTTGAAGGGGAAAAACGAGCAGCAACACCATCTCCAGCTACTGTCCAACCTCAAACCGATCTTAGGAATGGCACAGCTTGCGAAATCCCGCAGTATGAGCAGGAACAAGGGTTGATAGCTAACCCACCACTACGGGTTGAGATCATCTTGGAAGAAGACTTTATCCAGGTAAAATTTATGGTTTTAGATGTTTGCAGGTTTTCTATTCGAGTATCAAGAGGTAGGACACTAATGGGAGAAAATTCAGGCGATAATGGTATACTGTTCTTTTG